TTGAGAGTCCATAACTTGATAAACTCCTGACGCTGAATTTCAGGGTCTGATATTGCAGTTAAAAGTTTCACTTCCTCAGGCGAAAAGTACCGTTTTGCAAAAGCTGAAATATTGCTATTAGCCCTTCGTTGCTTCTCTTCTACATCAATACCAATCTACAATCAGAAGCATAAACAGCAAAGTTTAAATTGCGTTCCCAATACATTATTTATTTATTCAGTAAGCATATTTAGCCATCACATTAGGAGCTGATCTCTGCAGCCCCAAAAGAAGGGGATACTTACTGGTACATCCAGAGTCACTCCACAGGCTACTAGAGAAGAAGTGTGCGAGATATTAAAATGCAATGGCAGTGGGCACCAGTCTACCTATTCTCTCACGAAATAAAAATAAAAGAATAAATGTATCAAGAAAACAAAATACCCTTAAAAAATACAAATTAGAAGGAAAAGCAAGCTCAACAAAAAGCAGATAGTGGATAGCTAAGCCGTCCAAAATAGAACTGACCTCAGGCTTCCCATAGATGTTCTTCCGGAACTTCAAATTTCTTGGACTTACTTGACAATGTGTCTGATCTAGTAGTAAAAAGTATTGCTTAATGCTCACCATACAAAATATTCTATTATTCAAAGCAGTATCTACATCATATATACACATTTAAAAATAAGATTCTTTTCTGAATGGCTCCTTGACAGAAGATGTATTCATGAGGCAGTCTGAGGGGTTTGAAAATAAAGGCTGTCCAACTCATGTCTGTAAGCTTGAAAAAGTTTTGTATGCACTTAATCAGGCCCCTAGGGCCTGGTTTCAGAACTCAGGGATGGTGTAGTCCTGTGGGGATTCAGTAATTCTAAGGCTGACACATCATTATTTGTCTTTCCCAGAGGGGAACAAATTTTCATTCTACTTGTGTATGTAGATGACATGTTAATTACAGGAAATTGTACTAACCTTATCTCTCAAGTAATAAGAGATTTCAACCGAAAAATTGTCTTGAAGGGGTTGGGATGCTTGGCTATTTCTAAGGTATTGAAATTTTCAGGGATAGCAAAGGCCTGCATTTATCACAAACAAAGTATATACAGGACATGCTGAAAAGAACAAGGCTTAAGCAATCCAAACCTTGCTCCAATCCAATGGTCACAAGTCAAAAATTGACCAAAGTCAGAAGGCAGTCAATTTATGACCCCACTGTATACAGGAGTGTAATTGGAGCATTGCCATACGCTACCATTACAAGACCTGAGATCTCCTTTGCAGTAAATCGGTTGAGTCAGTTTTTGCAGTAGCCTATTGATCTACATTAGCAAACTGAAAAAAAGGTCCTTAGGTACCTTAAAGGAACTATTACCTAATGCTTAAATTTCAGCACAACAGGAAGACTTGATGTTATAGGGTTTTCAGTTGTTGATTGGGCCTATGATCAAGAGGATAGAAAGTTTGCCAGTAGGAATTGTGTGTTTTTAGGAGGAAATCAGGTGTCCTGGGTTTCTAGAAAGCAAAAATCAGCGGCCAGGTCAAGCACAAAAGTGAATATCGGTCCTTGGCTCAAATTTTTCCTTTTTTTTTTTTGTGAGGTGTGGTGGTAAACCTAGTAATTGCCTCTCCCGCGACCTGAACACAAGGCCCCTGGGTATCCTTGGCTCAGTTTGATGCAAAGGTGACTTGGATTTCATCATGGCTTAGTGAGCTTCATGTGAAAATGGTTGTTGTACCTATTGTGTGGTGCAACAATCAGGGAACAACAGCTCTTGCTTATAATCCAGTTCATCGTGGAAAAACAAAACACATAGAATTAGATGTACATTTCATTAGGGATATGGCTGCAAATCAGGAACTTCAAGTTAGATATGATCCTTCAAAAGATCTAGTGGCTAATGTGTTTACAAAGGCACTTACAATAGACCATTTTGAGTACTTAAGAAATAAGCTAAATGTGATTCCAAGTTGGCAAAGCTTGAGAGGGGATGTTACAACATCAAGCTCTGCAGCTCAGTTAGTTGTTGTAAAATAAGCTTCTGCTATTAACAAGTCAACGGTGCATTTGGAGGAGTTTGCTAACATGTAAAAGCTGCTTGGTCTGCATTCATAGTTAAAAGGTCTTACTTACAGTTTGTGTGATCTAAAAATTATTTATATACACTCCATTGGTTGTATAAAAAGAGCAGTAGTCTCATAAAAATTTAACAAGAAAAAATTTCAGATTAATCTTTTGGCTTTCCGTTAGTTTCTTAAGAAAAATCATTCTCAATTTTCAAGTTTTCAAACTTGATATCAGATCTTATGGTTGAAGTGATTAACAACAACCAATCTCAACGAGCTTTTGGTGATCCAAAATTAGACTGTTGCAATCAGCAAAAACACTATTGTATTCAAAACCTCTAGCTTTGCTATGCCAATAAATTAAGCTTGATCAAAGCAATTTTAAGGCCTCAAAATTACAGGTTCTTCCTCCAATTCCAATAGCTTTGTTGGTTTGGATCATTAGAAGCCCTTTGAGCTTGATTATTGTCAATTATTTCAACCATAAGCTTTGATACCAAGATTGAAAATTCAAATGAATTGAGAAAGATCTTAAGAAACAAACCAAAAACCAGAGAGAAAATCAAGAGAAGAGTCTGGAATTTTTTCTTATTAAACTTTTATAAGACTACTGATCCTTTTAGACAAACATAAAGAGTGTTACAACTAATTCCTTGAATTTTTTCTTATCAAAATTCCAGATTCTTCTTCTGATTTTCTGTTTGTTTCTTAAGAAAATTATTTCTTAATTCATTTAAGTTCTCAAACTTGGTATCAAAGCTTATGGCTGAAGTGATTAACAAATGATGATCCAAATCAGACTATTGCAATCACCAAAAAACACTATTGTAGCACCTTGTACAGTGATTAACTAACTGAGTGATAAAGCTTGATATTCTAACATCTTCCAACCATTTATTTGAACGTCTTTATTTTCTAATAGTAGTAAGCTAGTAAGCTAGACTTTGTTTTTAGTAAGCGTTAGCTTTCTTCTGAGTGATGAGATTCTATGGTGTTTCCATTTGGATGGAAAGTGTCAACATATCCAAAAATATCAAATTGTTTCATATTCTAACGTTTCAACTCAAACTTTCTTCATCACATGCCTCTATAACTTTTGAAAACTTAGAGCAACTACAGTGCACTAACATATATTTACGTGTAATATGCTTCTGAATAAGCAATATGCATGTCAATCATATATAAATTATTGATATCATGATTCATAAGAAAAATTTCCCTACAAATCTAGTGCCAACACAGTATCCATATAGAACAAGAACATCAAGTTTAACTACATATCGTCCGCTCTAATCTCGGTGTCCAACAATAAATGTAATGGAAAAATGAAGAGGAGAGTTTCAATAGAAACATCAAGTACCTACATCTGGCAATAGTAGTGCGAACTAAGGCACGAGCTAGCAGGGCACTTTTCTTGTGCTGGTCTCCACGCATTCGATAAACATTTTCCTTCTCTCTTGGTGAGAGAATTTCTAAATACTGATTTAAAAGAGATGTACTCTTCACCTCCTCAGGTACAATATACCAAAAGTGGGTTTCCCTGAAGACCGAAAAAGAAAAAGTAAACGAAAAAGAAAAAAGAAATCATTATCGACGCAGATTGCAAAGCTTTAAACACAAATATCTTCAAATAGAAACAAAATATCATAAAATGCCAATAACCCAAATGTTATGAAGCGCCAAAATATAGATGGATTACAAAAATAACATAGAAAATGGGATGGCTGATACCTTTGAGATGGTAGTTGAACAGGAAGTAAAGGCGGCAAAGCAACTGAGAAATTCCTTTGAAAGCAACACGTATTCATTGTGAATTTGAGTTTTTTGTTTAGAGACGAAAACATGAATACTTGGAACAGCTGAACATATCTAATCCTCACATAAACAACCTCAAAAAAAAAAGGCAACAACCTTCATTAAGGAACAATTAACAAAAACATAAATTTGAAATTTAACTCACAGCACAAGGCATTCAGAAAATATCCAAAACTCAAAACATTGGAAGGGTTTGTAAATCCAAAGATTAGAGAGAGGAGAGAGTACCTTCGTGTTGGAAGAAACAAGAGCTCGCGCGTTTGGTTTGGTTTGGTGGGCAATCCAAGGCTTTCTTCAAATTAATTATATTATTGTAGTTTTACACTTTTACTTTCCTGAAATTATCATAAAAATATTTTCTGAAATTCGATAAAAATTGTACCTGAAATTTTGTATAAATTTTCAAAATAAAAATTAAGGTCCTACTTATTTTTGGAATTAAAAGTTTTCTCATTTTGTTATAATTTCACGAATTATTTGATATCAAATTAAGTGTGTCTACTCATTTAAATTAAATTTTGCTGTATTGCATTTTTCCTCATTTGATTCAATTATTAAATTTACATGATTAATGAGCGGCATTTTCTATAATTTTAGTTGATTTAGATTTAAAGTGTAAGAACCATATTAATTTAATCATATAACTTGAAATTGTATATTGAACAGTTTAGATTAGAGTAATTAAATTGAATTTGCTGATTAAAAAGAACAGATTTCTCTAAATATTTTTCAGAAATCTAAGGCTGTTTGATACATTATTTTATTTTAAATAAGATAAGATAAGATAAGATAAGATTTAATCAAATAAAATAAGATTATGATAATGTGTTTAATACATTTTTTGAAAACATTTTCCGAAAAGTTTATAAATTAATAAAAACACCTTCACCCACCCAACCGACTGCTGACAGCCGACCACCACCATCAGACGGTAGCCGACAGTCGTCAGAATGGCGCATGACCATTAGGATCGATTAGAAGAGTTCAAGTGTGGTAGAACATCAGAAATATGTTCTTGAATGTTTAAGCAGTTTTGACTCTGAAATGGCGGCATCATCTTCATAACCCATGAAGTAGGCCCAAAAACACGCAGAATCGAAATCACAAACATATAAACACATTCTAAAGGATCCGGTAGTAAATAGCATTGTCGAAACTCAAAAATACATTCTGTTAAGTGATAAGCGTGTATAGATTATGATAGATGTCATCAAATAACAATATGGTTTTGTGTCAAATTATCATTTTGAACTCTCCCCCTTGCAAGGGACATCAGTGCAGCGACAAACAGGTTTACCAGAAGCTTCCCAACCATTGAAACCACGTTCAAGAACGAAAATGTTCTTGATTCCAGCATCTACTACCTTTTCATCCAGATAATTAGCCAACCTCCTCGCACAAGTTGGTCCGCGAACCTACAAAGTCATCCACAACATTTTTAACATGCAACCATTCAAAAAAACTATCTTAGTTTGTCTTTGAAAAGAAACAAGAAGGAAAAATATGAGAACACGGAAAAAGAGGTTAAACAGAGAGAAATCCAACACAAGATTTCTTAAGTTAAAAAATTATAGCATTAATAACTAAGGTATACGTCACACTTCTTTTTGTTAAGCCTCAAGCCACTTATGCTAACACATAACTGCTATATACATGGTTTATGGGAAAATAGATCAAGACCATGCGGAGAGGAGGAGAATGGGGTTAGAGAACAATAAAAGAAGAACTGTTATTTAAGGAAGAAGTGTGTAAATGAAGATCAATCATAATTTTGGAGCACTAAAGCTCAGGACCTCGTAAAGAATCATGATTTAGTTTTGCAAGTTTTCAAAGGCTCTTGATCAAGCATCTTGCTAACTGGAGAAGTTGAGGATGTGTTGCAAGATGGGAATTTGAGAAATCATAGACTTAAGTTTTAAAAAAAATGACTTTGCAATCCAATTTAGAAGGAGATTGCACTCTACAAACCCAATAAGATGACTGACCTAAAAGACGAAAAATCTCCTTCTAGTATGGCATCGTTCAATAACCCCTATCACATACCATTCATAAGGGTGCCACTTCTAAAAGGAAAACAAGAGCTCGCAGAGCACCAGTGAATCATTGCTCGTAAAACTTTTGTTAGGCTCACTGGATGCTTTACTCAAACAGGATAAACAATGCTATATAAGCACTACCTAGCTTGCTAGCATGGTAGATTACCTGAAGTGACAGTGGGCAAGTTTTCCTCACCAGATGCATAAGCAAGTTTGACAGAGGTATTTGAGTTGAAAAAATATGTTCTATTGTATAACTAATTCCCAAAACGTTCAAAGCAATGACTCTAGTTCACAACAAAAAAATCCAATCCTCAGACTAACAATTGAAAATGTAGAAGATCTAGTGATTCAAATAACAGAAGGATAGGAGACGCTATTAACAGAAAAGCATGCATATGCACCAAAATAAGACTCTCATAACAGCTCAAGCATCGGCCTCCAAACCCAAAGTCCGACCGTACTTCGAACCACAAACAATATTCCAAGCACAAAGGAGCAGCTCTTCGAAGAAGACACTACTCATTAGCAAGGAGCCATGGCAGTTCATAACTAAGGTCTCCAAGACAGCAGAGCAATACCATAGTTTGAGCAGTACAGACGTGAATATATATATTTTTTAAATCTACTACTTTTAAATTAGTTCAAAAAGATTCCAAGGAAATTTTGAGTTATTTATAGTTTACAACATAATACATACATTTCTTTAGTATTTCGACTTGATTTTGAAAAATAATTATAGTGGATTAAGAGATCATAATAGTCAAATTATGTGGGTACTCAAAGTTGGCGGACAGTTGATCTCTTAACAAGTTTTCTAGGCTTAGATGCCACTTGAGTTTGCTGTTGGAGTATCAAGAGGTAAGTAAATCGAACCTTTATTAGAATCATAATAAATATAAACACATGTTTTCTTATGAAATTTGAATACTTCTTTTGATGTATATATGCTTATATGCCATAATTATGAACATTTGATATCTGAATTTGTTTTTAGCATGGTCATGTGTTATGCTTTATTGTTTAATTATGAAGTGTATGTAGGAATATGATTTTTCCATGTGCATATTATTTGTGTGTCTTTAGGATACTTAAATTTGTTGCATGCTTAATAAGCAACCTATATTATGTGTGGAACCAGATGTTGTATTTTAATGTTATGTGTTCTATACTTTGAGAAGTGTCCTTAGGGAACCTTTAGGACTAAGAAGTCTTCACTTATGTGTGTCGACATATAGGTACATGTAAGAGGACTTGGTGATTATTACAATGAATGAATGATGGTCAGACTCTTAACTTCAAATATGAATGTATTTTTATTAACCAAAAAAAACCCTCACTTATACTTGTCTCGTGTATGGTAAATCACCAATGTGCTCATCTCATTTGTGATAAGTAAAGTCTCACTAGGTAATAACTTAATGAAGAGAAACGTACTGATATTTTGATACAGAAGAAAAATTAGCTCCATGCTTAAATGATTAATTTAAATAATTCTATGCTTCATAAACACAGATAGTGTACAGTACAGAAGGTCACCCAATAAAACTTCCAATCCAGTCTTTGATCTAAATCTGTAACAGCAAATGAGAACAAACCTAAAATTATTCACATTGGTTTGCGTCGACGCACTTTTGCTTTTTTGGGTTCACTGAATACATCTTTCAACCAAAATGTTTTTTTTATTTTATTTTTCTTATTAGTGAAATTCAACCCAGCAGAACTTTAAATCTAATCAATAAATACAGTAAACATAACATTGCATCGAGAGAACAAATACATACATCATTATAGCCAACTAGATCAACAGAAGGAGCAGAAAATTAGAAGAAAAAAAAAAAATCAAATTCCACTAATAATTAATATCTGAAAATATACAAGGGGTTCAAAATTAAAGGGAAAAGCAGAAAGACCTGGCTTAAAGCGCAATGGAAAACAAGGGTATCTTTGCCCTTGACCTCTTGAATTAAATTTGAGATGTTATCAGTGAAATTGCCGCTCGCATAGTGCAGAGACCCAGTTATATGCCCATCGTAACTCCTCTCATCGTCTCTTCATAAAAATATCATCAACAAATTAAATAAGGAATCTTAGCAACTTAAATTCGTCTTGCAAAAAGCGTGATTGTACCTGACATCGATGACGGCGATATTTGGGCGGGGTTTCAAAGAGAGAAGCTGAGACCCGGTTATGTAGGAGATGGTCCGAGCCATTGCTTTCTCTTCAAGACTTTTCTTCCTATATATATCGTAAAACCTCTCGACAGTTATAACGGTGGAACTAACTAATTTTATTATTATAAAAAATTATAACTTAATGGAGGTGTAGTTATAAAAATTATAGCATTAAGATTTCAATTTATATTTTAGTAGTATTAGAATTTCAATTCAGCGCTTCACTTGCCTACTTTTGAAATGGATAGAAGATTGTGTCTTGGAACCAGCAAAGATAAGTGTCATTAATGAAACTGTAAATGCAGTTGATACATGGTCAATTGATGTGAAGCCATAAACAATTATCAATGGTTTTAAGCATTGCAAAATTAAGACCGCCGATTTTGATGAATTGCAAGTTACAAATGAAGTGGGAGAAAAATAAAAGAGTTATTGCAAAATTGAGTGATTAAATTCGACAATTTCACTACACTAATCGAATGGATAGTAATGTTCCTCGATCATCCAAATGAGCAACAAATCGTGTATGCTTTAACTGATAATTATTATTATATGGAGGTAATTTTCCTTAAGATGGAAATTAGAAAAATTATAACTTATTACAATGTATAGTTTATTCGTATTTATAACTATCCTAAATTGGGATTAGAATTTTTTATGATTATGTAGGGTTTATTCCTATATAGAATATCACTATAGAGAGGTTTTACTATATATATTGGTTGTTATGTGGCACATTTTGAAAGCTCTAGAATTGCTCCATTTGACACATTGGATTGACAAGCCAATCAAATTGCTTTAGCTTGACACGTTGGATTGGTATTTATTGCTCCATCTATAATTATTAATTAATTAAAATAAGAGGATCTGTATTAATAATTAATAATAGTCATAATAATACAGGTGCATTGCATTGGCATTCCAAAAATGTGCATTAATAACAAATATACAGGTGTATTGGATTGCTATTACTAATTGTGGTTTAATGATATTTGTTTAGGATTGTTATCTATAATTATATAGGTGCATTTTATTGACATTGGAAAATTTTCTTCTTATTTAATTGTGTTGGTATTCAGAAGGTCAAAATAAGGGGTTATAAAAGGGGTACATATTCAGTTGTGTATCATCATAATTTGTTCGTCGGTGTCAACAATACGTCTGGTCTTTTGTTAATTGTTTATAGGTTATTTTAGTTTGTGAAAATAATATGTCTATTCTTCATGTGCATTTTGATCGATGGTGTTTTTATTTATATATGTTTTTGTTGTTGTTTATAGGTCAAAGATTCATGAATTGGCATGGAATAAAGGCAGGATGTCCGATTGACACTGTCAAATGAGTTGTTATTTTGATTTGTTCTTCTGAACTGTAAGTATATCTTCTAACTATTTGAATGCGAAACTGTAAGTATGTCTCCCAACTATTTTAACGGTTATTGTTAGATTGAATGATTGTTTTTGTTCGGCCAATTTATTTGAATGATTGATTGTGTTATTCCTTCCAAACTGTAAGTGTGTTCCTTGATAATTTTACTATAAAGATTAATTAACTTTTGTTGTTTCCGTTTTTAGGTACTAGTTTTTATACAAATGGATAATTGTTCCTTAACAATGTTAACATGAAGATCAATTACATTTTGTTATGTTTGTTTTCAAGGAAATAAGGATTCGTGTTTATTATTTTTTTGGTAGCGTCATTGATTCACTGTGTCTCTTCTGTCGATCGATCGACATAAAATGTGAATTCATTGATTTTGTTGATTTCATTTTCAGGTTACAGGAAAAAAAGTTGACGTGTCCATACAATGGCCAACGTGTTCCATACCAATTTGTGTTTATTAAGTCTTCGGTAAGGTCATTGATTTGGTATGTCTGTGGTTGCAATCGATTAACGTGAATTATATGTTCACTTATGTTTGCTGATTCTATTTTCATCTTACAGTTTCGGCTGAACAGTGAGTATTTGTTGTTGGTATGTTCATATGAGGGGCAATTAGTTTTTCCCTGTATTGTTGACACTGAGTAACATTAAACGTTCATGGTTTGTATTTTGCCTAAAGATTAAGCATTGTTTTTTCGGCCATGCTATCTGTTTGTTCCGGCCGATATGTAAGCATTTATTTTGGGACTGAGCTTCATGAAACATTTATGGATTGTTTTATGTTAACAAGGCTCATATGAGTATTGTTTTTGCTAACTCTGTTTTCAGGTGACACGATCGGCCCTCAACTATCATCGAATTATGTTGCTCGGTGCATTGTTGTCATAGGGTAGCAAAATCCGATAGTAGTTGTGGTTTCTGAATCATGGTATTTTATGCGGATAAATAGCAATAAAAAAAGTGCCAAACTAATCATGCAGCCCGATGGGTTAATACACTTACTTTTTCATTGATATGTTCGGTATTTTCATGATGTTTGGTGTTCTCATATTTGATGTTGTTCTTAATGGTGTTAGTCTCTTGATATCGTGTTTTGTTGCTTTACAATTGCTCCTTTTTGATGCGTTAGATTTGTACTATTAATAATTTTATAGGTGGATTGTGTTGACGCTGCAAATATTTATAGATATATATTTATCCAAAATCGATGGCTGCATTGTACTGTTATGTGATACTTTCTATCACGATCGGGGGCTATCCTCTATCTCGCCACCTTCGGGCTCAAGGGCTTTCCCCACGCATCGAACACGTCCAAGGTATTGTCCACTATCGGTCCTTCTGGCCATGCCTCCTTCAGACCCTCATGGCTTTGCTTCGCTTTGTGGTCTTTTTTTCACCTTGTGAACGCCTCCCCCATGACTTGAACCTTGGACTTATACCTTGGCCAAGTAATATGAGTACCATTAGGCATTTTATTGTCACGACCAGGGGCTATCCTCTATCTTGCCACCTTCGAGCTCAAGGGCTTTCCTCGTGCATCGGATATGTCCAAGGTATTGTCTGCTGTGGGTCCTTCTGGCCACGCCTCCTTCAGACCCTCACGGCTTTGTTTATGGCCCAATGGTACTCATGTTACTTGGTCAAGGTATAAGTCCAAGGTTCAAGTCATGGGGGAGGCGTTCGCAAGGTGGAAAAAAGACCACGAAGCGAAACAAAGCCGTGAGGGTTGGAAGGAGGCATGGCCAGAAGGACCTATAGCGGACAATACCTTGGACATGTCCGACGCACGGGGAAAGCCCTTGAGCTCGAAGGTGGCAAGATAGAGGATAGTCCCTGATCGTGACACTTTCAACGTGATATTACTATTTGTTGATACAGAAATCTGCACCAACTAAAGTGATCTACTTGACCTTGGCAAGATCGAAACTGATGTGTGCATGATTACGGATAATCAGCGATGAGCAAATGATGAATGTAAAAAATAAATGACAAAGAGACTTTTAAAGTGGTTCGGCGAGATAAACTCTTGAGCCTACATCCACTGTTCTTGTATTTGCTATGAGAGCTTACAATATGAATTCTATGAGAGTTTTCTCACCCCTTTTTAATCATTTGAGGAGGGTATATATACAACATTTGTACAAAGGAAAGAGCGAAAATAAAGAAATTACAATTGATTTGAAATGCAACTCCGATATTCTCGCGATTGGGCGATGTGATTACGCAAAGATTGCTGTTAATCTGATTCTTCTCGAGATATCTGGGATTTGGAGTTATCTGGGAATTGGTTGAACAATCGTACGGATTGTTCACGACTAGCTTGTGCTGGGTCGAGCTAGAGCTCGACGAGCTTACGCTGGGTCGGACAATCGTTGGAGTCGAGCTGGTTCTGAATCAAGGTACCTGAGCTTGGTGGAAATATCACACACAACATCTGCCCCCTAGTGTTTGATGCTTGTTCAGGCTCCGAAGACTTTTTCTCGATTTGATATCAAGCTCGGCATTATCAGTAGGTCACCAGATGCAGGTTTGGTAGAGCTCCAAGGGTCGAGCTCTAACAATCGACCTCATGCCCAGTAGACGTACTTCACACTTGAATTTTTTATTAGAATGTAATAGAACTTTATTAATGAAAAGAAGATATTTCAGTATATCCTTGTCAAGCAAAATTTTTTATAATCTTGTAGAGTCATTTCAGTTGTCCAAATTGGACTTGTAATAGAAGATCTAAATTTGCTCCAAGTTATGCGTAGCTCGCTTCTTGAAGAGCTTTTTTGGATATGTGCAAGGAAATATTATGCAACAATCAACTTTGATTTTGGATCCATTGTTCGTTTCGAGTTTTGATCACCGACTTAAGGCCAATTTCCTTTGACGTGTTTTTCTTGAATTTTTTCAAATTTAACTTCGTCGATTTGGGATATTTCACCCTTATAGAGTTGGATTTTGACGTGGCTTTTCATAATAAGCTGTTTTTTTCCCAAACTCTGGACTCCGAGTTTTCTTTTTTTTTTTTAAAATGTTATCGCATAGGTTGCGATCTTTGAAGCGATGAATAAATGCTAAACAAGTTAAAACATTGGTAATGTACAAAGGAAGATTATGAATAATACCTCTTTTATTGATAAAGCATTTTGGCAATGAACGGCCTTACAAAGAATGACTAAAAGAGAGACATAAGTGGAACCCGAGCTACTCATTGGTAATACCTGCACAAATGCCTGGCGTTCTAAGTGGAAAGATCCCGGTGTGAGCTTTTTAGAGATCCTGAAGGGACCTTTCCATTTGGGCCTAAGTGCCCCCAAGTTCGGGTTTTGGGTACCCTGGACAACCTTCCTGAGAACTAGGTCGCTACTTCAAAGTCTTTGTTTTTGACTTTGGTGTTGAAGTATGATTTGGCTCGCTGTTGATATAAGGCAAGCCTTAACTGAGACTTGGCCCGGTGCTCTTCGATTAGGTCTAGCCTTAGGTAGCGAAGGTCTTCATTTACTTCCTCGTTGAAAACTTTCCTTCGGAACGAACTGATTCCCACTTCAACAAAGGCCATTGCTTCACACCCGTATGATAGAGAGAACGAGGTTTCACCTGTCGAACTCCTGGCTGTTGTTCTGTAGAACCACAAGGCCTCGGACAACTCTTCGACCCATCTTCCCTTCAGGGTGTTGAACTTCTTTTTAATGGTGTGCTTGATGACCTTG